TATACCAACTTGAGAAAAAAATTGGAGTTAGTAGTGCTATTTCTTGGTGAGAGCAGTTGGTTTTTAACCAACCTATACATTGTATGCACAAAATCTCCATGGTTCTATGTCATTAAAATGTAAAATTATGTAAGTTGTATTAAACGTGCTTACATTGCTGCTATGCATTGTGCTTGTAGCGGTAGTTTTATGTAAAGCATTGTAGCCTTTGGGAGAAAACATGAAAAGGCATTTGTAAAGCAGTCTGATTGTAAGGAACAGCTTCAATTGAGATGTAGTAATATGTAAGTTTTTGTTTTATAGAATAATAGTTATTTTGGTAGATGTGAGCTTTTACAGGAATTAGAGCGTAAGAACGTTTAAACAAAATAGTCGACAAACGCTCACATACGTCTTTTCAACAAAAATTATATTTGATATTACTTAGTCCATGGTGAGATCATGTATTCCTAAACGACTTTATACTATAAGAGAGAGTCTTAGGAACAAAGAATTTTTTGGATAATTTTTGCAAATTTTTAACACTGAATATAATTTTTAAGGCAGATCGGTCTGAAGAATACCCAATTTTCGGATCTTTATTGAGATGTTATGACTTTTTCGATTTTGTGGGGCAATAATTCAAGCTTGAAAATACCATCTTATATGTAAGTAATTTTTATGAAAATACCACACAAGCAAGACTATCAACAACTTCTATGAAAAAATGTACCTTTTTGGCCTTAAGATCTTTACATATATGTCGTTTAATAATTGTTACCAGTTCAATATTTTAATATCGTTTTTAAGAAGGCTCACTCTTAATTTGTTTTTTACATTTTCTCTTCAATTAGTGTTTCTTTATTTTTTATATTTATAGGTATGTTCTTATGACGTGTTATAACGGGATATACAGATAAGATCCGAAGGGAAAAATCTTTGTAGTTTATAGTATTTTCAATATTCGTCCATGAAAAATTATTTGTAATGCTTCCACAAAGCATACATTTAAGAAAACATGCGAGGTGTATTCAAAGAAAAGGGTGAATTTTGAATTTTTTTGAAAAGTACTTTTTATTTTAATTCATCAATAACTATTTTGTTCTCTTCAAAGTAATCGCCCTCGGATATAATACACTTGTGCCAACGCTTTTTACAATCGTCGAAGCACTTTTGAAATGCGTATGACCATCAGCTCTTTCTTCGATCCTGACTTGATCTCATTAATTGGAGCATAACGCTTTCCTTTCATTGGTTTCTTCAGTTTTGGGAATAGGAAAAAGTCGCAGGAAGCCAAATTTGGTGAATACGGTGGTTGAGGCATAATTACGGTTTTGTTTTTAGCCAAAAATTTACGAATAGGCGACATTGCTTTTGCTCAAAATTTAGCAATTTTAGAACAAACTTCACTGCTATCCATTTCATGCCCAAAACATTCGAGAAAATTTTATGGCATGTGCCGATTGATATGCCTACATCCTCTGCAACTTGACGTGGTCGCTCTTCGAGGAAGTTCATCGTCTTCAACAGCTTCTGTGAAGCGCTTGCGCCACTTATAAACACTTTTTTGAGACAAAGTGGACTTACCGAATGCCACAGTCAACATTTCAAGTACCTTGGAGCACTTTATTCTATTTTTAACGTAAAATTTAAGGCATTTCTTTCAAAAGTCAAAAATCGAAGAGCACTCAAAAACTTGACTAATCTTTTCTGTTGTCAAAAACAAACTACTTATCGAAATTGGCTCCTAATACGAAAAATCAAAATTTACCTTTTCCTTTGAACAAACCTCCTACGTTTCTAGCAGAATTCATAACAAAATGTGAGCCACTACTGAAACGAAAAACAGCAAGTCGCAAGTGAACCACACATTGATAGGCTCCGTAATGAAATATTAAATACGACTGAATATGTTTACAATGCTTTCACTTCCAAAATTACCAAAACCAATCTACAACCTTTGGCATTGATATAAAAAAGTTAATTAATAAACAAAAAAAAACACTTTATGCTAGGAACCCCGACGTCACAATTTGTGCTTGAAATTGTATTTAATTCTTTTTTATATTGCAATATTTATTGTTTTAAAATTCACGCATCAAAAACGTGAACGCGTGCCAAAGAAAGCCTATGAAGCGGAAAAGATTTCGGAAATTTTTGCAAATATTAAAAATAATACAATGCTTTTGTTATTAATTGGGTATATAATATAATTTTACAAATTCAATAACGAAAAATGTTTGTAAACAAACATTTATTTAATGATTGAAAAATTTATTCACCATTTTTTTAATGCTAAAGATGTCGGTCGAATAATATTTATGTATTTTATGGGTCTGAATACGGATTAGAAATCGAATATCGCCGCGCGATTGGTATGTGGAATATGCAAAAATATAATATCGGTGCATACTTTTAAATGGAATGTGAATTTTTGTAACGTTTTGATTTTGTGTGAGAAGACTGTTTACAAGGTTGTTGTTGTTACGATTCAAATTTGCTTAAATTCAAATTAATTCGAATGCTAAAATTTACTATAAAATTATGTTGAAAGCACTGAATGTATAACAAGGTATATATGTATGTAGTTATGTATCAAAATAGTATAATATGGGGTTGCCAACTTCTTCTATTTTTAATGCACAAAAAAATACATTTTATGTTATTTACGAGCCGAAATCAAGTCAAACTATATATTGCTTATTTCATTCAATATTTTTTTATAATTTTTTTAACCAAGAATTCTCAAGTTTGCATACCTCACCACCTGTCAGTGTATGTCAATCCTTCGTTAATTTATTAACAATTTATGGGATTTGTAAGCAATAATGTAGATCATATACTTTTGCACTTATATATAATATAAATTTCATTATTTATAAATCGCATAAAATATGCTAATTAACATTTCCGTTCTGAAAATGCTGAATCTATAGTGCTTGGCAGGCTGCTGCTGTCTATCGTTAAGTTCGCGGGGTTGCTTAAAATTCTGTCATTTTCTCAACATCTTGCCCTTACTGCTATATATCTTCATATATGCATATTTTACTAAACGAATTCGTGCTCTTAGATATTTCACTTTCGAAATACTATTTGACAGGTGTTTATTTTCGCTAATTTCAAGATACGCATAGCAGTATATCATTATTAAATTGTGTTTTTCTTTCTTTCCTTTGATTTGCGTAATTATTTCGCACTGTTCCTGACTAGGTTGATGACGGTCAGCTCCAGCTGCGTTTGTTTTTAAAACTTCATGAGATAGAATTCCAGATACATACAATCTAATATTGAATAAAAGGTTTTATAACAGTATTTTGTAATTTAGATAATTAATTAGAGTATTTTGATTTTTATTTACAAATCCTTACATGATAATATTTAACTTGTAACAATTACAAACACGGTAACGGCAAAGTCAACTGGGGACATTGGACCAAACATCATCAAATAATAATAAAATATTAAAAATATATACAGCAGCCACGTTTTTTACTTCATTCCAGGGTGTATAACATTTTTAGGTCAAGCTCATATGACAGCTGTTATAAGGGGTTGAAGTCGGATCTTCGAAAAAAAAATTCCATATTTCCGAAAATACTGGCTTAATTTTTGAATATTTGATTTCGTCATTGAGTCGAAAGAAGAAATGAAAAAATTTAAATTATTTTGGCGCTGGATATCTGGAGAAGTACAAAGAAGCAATCGTTTGGAATTGCTACATTTTCTCTTGAGAACCCTTTCTCTTGAACTAACTACGGTAACTCCATATATGTTTGTATGTATAACAACAGTTTTTTAACACCGAGTTATATATTTATTTCTTTAAGCGTTTTAACTTATATTATATATATCTATATAATATATATGGTATATACATTTACATATACTAGAGTGGGTAAAAAAAACGAATATTCTTTTTACTTGGTCTCAGAAAAATAGGTTCTTAGACACCTCTAAGAAATGCTTTCCATGAGCTCTTAATTGTTAAGGAAAGGTCCTCCGCCTTACAACTTTCGTTGTAGATTTACGTGAGTACCTGCCGGCGACGGCCTTACCTCACGGTGTTCTAAAACACAACGTATCAATACAATGCGTTGATAAGCGCCCCAAACAATACGAGCTTTTTGCAAGTATTTATTTGGATACCAGTGGCAGTGTGTCTGGGTCCATACTACCACCTTGGTGTGATTCGAGGCCGACCTAAAACCTCTTCCGTTTTCGGGTACGGCACCCAGTTGCTTGTGCAACTTTTTTTTTCGAACTGAAAATTCAGTTCTTCCAGCATTTAAGTTTAAACCACAGCCACCACGATACTCCCCAAAGGGCCGAACCCAATGAGCAGATTGAACAGAAGTCCAAGGGCTTTCTGCTCCCCGTGGTACCGGAAAGTCTCCGGTCAGACTGCGTAGCCTAAACTACTGCCAGTTGAGCTCCCCATTACTCAAATGACTGGTGACATTTGTCGCTTGAACTTCAAATGTCTTTTTATTCGCTTTTTTCATTTAAAGTGTTTCTAATATCAGTTCAAGCTGAGTATTATAGCACTATTCCGAAACATACTATGCTGATATTACTGAGCAAGGTATATAATAACAGTCATAGTGCATATTGGCTTTTAGTCGCCTTTTACGACAGGCATGCCTTGCCGCGGGCATATTCTATCCCCTGCCCGCAGGGGTCCTCCGCCTTACAGTATATACCGGGTCTAAAAACCTATTTTTTATCCTATAAGGTAGTTCTAATTTTTCACCTTTCCTGGATTTTTTGAATGGACATCGCCTCTTTCTAGCCCTGTGCTTTTTTGATCTTAGTAATATTGTAATAATGAAATTGGCCCTTGATTTTAGGTTCCGAGCTTTAAAAAAATGACTGAAGCGAAGCGAGCATTGGCAGTGAGACATTTAGAAACCATGTTGTCAAGCGATCAAGTTTCATGATAATTAAAGCTATGGTGATTTTGCAATATTAATTAATTTTTTTGGGTGTACACCCTGTGTATGTCTAATATTGTAAATACTAACCAAAGAAATATCCAATAAGCACATACCTGCAAAGATTGAAAAAATAATTATTAATAATTTTATTTTAATTAAGAAATATCAAAAATTAGTGGATATATTATTATAATAGAAATATTTAGATGGAGCAACATTTATAAAAATAAAAAATGTTTATAAGCCAGAAATTGATGTATACTTTAAAAAAATTCAAAATATTTTACAGGAACTGGTCTAAAGTGTTGGAAATATCTATTAGATATCCTTTTTTTTACCGTTTATCAGCTTTAATGAGATTTATATTGAAATTCACTGAATAATTCTTTCCCCATAATGAAAGTTTTTCGCAGAATGCGTTAATCGATCAAGTAGTAAAGGCAAAACTAATAATTTATTATATACACATTTATTTGTAACAAGCCCGCAGACGGTCGATTGTTCAAATACATTTATATATTTATATATAAATATATATATTATATATAAATATATAAATATATATATTATATATATATATATATATATATAATACATAGGTACATACTTTGAATATTATCATAGTAATCACCTGCTGACTTAAGTAATCTCATCAACATTAGTGGCGACAAATCAAAACTTTTCTGCGAATAATTTCACGAAGTTTTGCTTTAGCGTACAACGTAATTAAATACATACAAATGTACTTACTAGATGCGAGTTGTAAATAATAATCGGAAGTTGGTTGAAATGCGTTGGTACCTTCACTGAATGTTGTTGAAATTACGTTCGAAATTTATTAATGGTTTATTGCGCATTATGTGAGTTACAGGAAAATCTGCAGTAGAAGAACAATACTAATAAAGAGACGGGGTTTGGTATTCAAAAGCAATGTTTGGATATATAACAAAGCATAAGATTTATAATAACTTTTGATAGAAGTATTCTTTATGTCGCCATTTTCCTTATTGCTGTTTACTATCTCTATTCTATTTGATTACGCCATTCTATTGCATTTACACCAGTTGCTTATTTGATTCATTGGTCCTGACGGTCTAGCGATGGAAACGGTCTTGAGTTTCAATATATCTAAACAGGAAGAGATTTGCATTTGCAGTGAATCCTCCACATACATACTTATGTACCAAATGAATAACTTAAAAAAAGTTAGTATTTAATAAATCGCATATTCCTACGATAGACACTAAAAATATGTATATACAAGTATATGGATTCTACAATATATTATGCCGTACATAATCTGAACTATGGTTCATCGAGTTTCATGCTTATATATGTATTTATATAGAATATATTTTTATATAAAATGGTATACATGTATTTATATAAACAAAATTCTATTTTTCAGACTTATAAAGTGTAGCCGTTAATCAGTTTATTTTTAAACACTATTTATTTATTTTTATTCCAACTACAATTTTCAAATTGACTGCAGTTGTATCTCAAAGGCAAATCATCCCGCTTTGATTTTTCTGTTTATTTTGTAAGTATATGTTTTTCTGTAGAATGATTTTCTAGTTTTTGGATCTTATGAAAAATGTAATCTTGTAATCCAATATTTATTTAATTTTTGATCAAAATACGAAGTACTTTTTTCTTCAAAGTCTGTTATTTTGTTAAATTTGTTTAAATTTTTAACAATTATAGGCCATTGGATAGGCAATACTTTACAGATAAATAACTGTTTCGATCGCTAAAGAATATTTTTGTTTTTTATAATTTTTGGTGTATATTTATTAAGTATGCATAAATATATCCTAAAAATTGTACAATCTGCCGTAGATATCTGTAAAAAAAATATTCCAAAAATCCCCTTTTTTTGGCAGTCACACTACTTGTGCGCCTTAAACATAAAAAGTGTAATATAAATTAGTTATGTAGATGTGAAGGAAAGAAGCGCTAACCGAGTGAAAATGACAATTATTCATTTATTACATCACGACGTTATGTGTTTTTTCTGTCAAATGCATTGCAAATAAGGTAAAGGGCAGAAACTGATTATGTTGTATACACAAGCTGACCTAAAATACAAAAAATATACATTTAACGCATTCTTATCTAACATTCGTACTAATCCTTAGTTGATAAAAAAAATACGCAAATATACTTATATAAGAATATAACACTAAATAAGTACAGAAGTGTCGTTTTCCTCAAGTATCATTAATCAATATGAACAAAGCATACTTTTTCTGTGTAGCAAAAAAGTTGGTGAAACACGTGGCAACTAATGGAATTTTATTGCCAAAACGTAACTCCCCCAATTGCCATGCCAAAATGTTGTTAAACTTGCAAATAGGCTATTAGAGAAGGAACAAACGTGTGGAAGAGACGAGTAAGAAATAGAAATATAGAAACAACACGCAGGTACTCAGTGAGCAGACAAATCGGAGAAATTTCAATAATTTAATGGTGATATATAGTAATCAACGTCTGGCGACGGCACGCGCAAAACAAAACCAAACAGTTTATCTGAGAGCACTTAGTGAGGAAGTCTTTTCAAGGTTTATGTGGTTTTTCGTCATTTGAGTAGATGTGCTAGCAAATAAACTATAATAATATTAGAATAGTTTGTTAATATACCCATACATATTTTCATTGCTTGTAGGAAAGCAGAGTTTAGTGAAAAAGCATGGTAACAGATGCAAAAGTACACAGAAAGCCATATGGCATGTACATATGAACGTATGTATGTAGCTCACAGAACGAAAAATAATCATAACAATTACGGAAAGGCTAAGTTCGAGTGTAACCGAATACTCATAACAAGTAAGGAAAGGCTAAGTTCGGGTGTACCGAACATTTAATGCTTTTGCAATTTGCAAGGAACGAAACCGGCTAAATACTTACCTTCAGGTGTTGGCAAAATTATTTATTAAAAAATGTAGCGAAAACGTTTAAATTCATTGTTCGAAGAAATCGTGAATGGGTTACAATCAAATTTGGCATTTTATTATCATATTTTGAAGGTCATAGACATACTTAGTTTTATTACTATATTTTACTTCCCGTCAGCGAAAATTATATTAAAATCATCCTCAGATGAGATATACGTACATTTGTGATGTAAACTCAATCGAAGAGGCTAAACTTAATATATCATTATAAGAGGGATGCTATAGTTTTATAACTTTTAGAAAAACATGTTAACTTAATTTCATTAAAATAACACACATTTTGATCAGCCTAAACTGTTTAAAGTCAGGTGAAAAGTCGGAAACTATTATATAGGATCTACCATTTCGGGGGCAGAGAAATGGAATGGTTGATTGCATTAACTTTTGACATAATTCAGGTATACTTGAGATCTTATTTTCAAGAAATGTTATAAATATAAATATATGTATAGAGTTAAGTTAGCCAGATGTTTCAAATCATGTATGTCCATTATATTGGGGGTTAAGGCAAGTTTTCGTCCGATTTTATCCGTTTTAGACACAAAGATACACTGTTATTAGTACAATACGCTTCCTCAATTTCATTAAAATAACTCCCACATTGACCGATATAGGCGGTATAAATTCTACTGGAAGTTCGAAAATCTTTATGTCAGGTATGTATAGGTATATTCCAACCCATTTTTGACACAATGGCAAATTATTATCAAAACATCCCTTTCCCCGAATTTCAAGTTTCATAGTGGGACTGACATTTTCGGTAAAAAGTGAGCTATACGCAGTGGGGTCCACATATTCTGTATGTGGGAGCTTGAATAGTTATGGTCCGATTTTTAAACTCGAAGTAGCATTTCTCAAAGGCACTATTTGTGCAAAGTATCATCCCGATATATGCGATATAAACAATCAGAGGGAATTTAAAATTCTGCTATATGGAATATGGAAAGTAGGCGTGATGGTAGTCTGATTGCGCCAACAATGTAGCATAGGATCATCAGGATAATGTTATGTACCAAATTTGGTTAAAATTGGTCGAGTAAGTCCTGAGATATGTGATTTCGCCTACATGTGGGCGGTGCCCCGCCGATCGTCCAATTTTGACCCCGGCTCCTAAAAAGCCCTCATGTATCATCCTGGGTGTAAAATTTAGTCTGGCGCATTTAGTTATTGACTTATCGCGCTTTTAATAGTTTTGAGCAAAACCGTTATATGTGGAGAGGTCGGGTTTATAATCCGATTTCATCCATTTTCACACTGTCGGTAGCTGTTCTTATGGGAATTGTCGAATTAGGTTATTGCAGCTATAGTGGTTAAAGAGATACGTACATGAAACTGCATTTTGTCAAAATTTTTAGCCCACAGGTGCCCCTTGCTACTGCAGTTCCCCGTACCAAATTACAGGTTTATATCATAATTTAGTGCGGCCTCCAATAATGGTAGTAATATGAGTTGTAAATATGAAGGAGCGCAAAATTACATTCAACGTAGAAGTATGTAGTTCCTATGCTCACATGCTGAATTTGGCTGGAGTCGACTCAACTGAATGCTGTCCACGAGCAATAACTTTTTTTGGTGACGTTCAAAATTGTTTCAATATTTTCAGTAGCAGCCTACAACGTTAGGAAATTCTGAAATCCAAAATACCCAATTCAATACAATACAAGGTGGTCTGCCAGAGTCGTGGCCGTCAAGCCACGAAAAACCTTCCGGAATTGATAAACGCTTTGAAACAATATACAACACTCAACCTTACGCAGAAACTCTTCGGGACGTTGATGGAGAGTCGATGATACCCACGTCGTACTTGACAGCGTTATCTGTGGCATGAAGAGAATATTCGCTGCAATGAGTTATATAAACGAAATATTATCATTTCTATGACAGTTCTATGATATGAAAGAATATGAACTCAGCGCAGTTACAAAAAAGTTTGTAAAAAAGTATTCCGTTGTTGTATTTGATAAGTTGTTCAATTTATTGAATGCCATCAATGCTCGAAAATTAGGAAGATTTTTCTCAAATATTTGCTTCGCTTTGAGAATATTTTGCAGTTTACTCGTTTCTGTTTCAAGTGGTGAACGTTCGTTTGAATCATGTTCAAAAACTAAATCATGATAGTCAACAGATAGTCAAGCCTTGCTATCCATATATTCATATATTCCGATATAATCTGAAAAAATATTTTGACTGAAAGTCTATGTATGAACTGATTTATATTATACATTATTGATTTTAAAAATTGTACAAAACAAATTTGTTCCACGCAACATCAACAAGAAAAAAAAGTTAATACAGATCAGCATAAAACACTATGTCATATATGACTTATTCTTCAAAAACATTGAAGTAGTAGGTGAAAAGATAGTTAATAATATCTACAAAGTATTAGAAACTTTTCTGTAGAGTGGGGCTCCCAGCTTTTTACCAATGAGTTTTCTCTTGGCGGCCCTGACACTGATGTTGAGATTTAAATTCCACGTAAGTTATTCGAAAGTTGGACAAAAGGGTATCGTACTTATTGTTCTTATTCTTGCACTCCCTCTTTTCTCTCTTTATCTATTTGTAAAGCTTTCATTTGTTTCACATGGTTTAATATATATTTTATTCTTTATGGGGTTATACCCATTCCAATATAAGTAACTTTAATGTGAAGGCTCGATTATCTTTATTTGTTTTTAGTGTTATGTAAACTATGAATAAATATACATATGTACATATATCTAACTTTTTTTTGGTAAAGTACAAACAGAGACGGGATTTGTTTGAATTTAAATGAAAGCTATACTTTGTGACACATTTTATCACGATGAACTTGGGACATTGCTCAACTCATTTGCAGTTCTTTTATAATTAGGGAAAATACACATATATAACTATTACTGTACATATGCGTATTTTAATACTTTTCTAAGTTGAATGCAACCGCTTACCTAATCTTCCCTATATCGTTTTGAGAGAGCTTATTTGTCAATATTATGAGTACGCTAGACTAGTGTGTCAATTGACAAATCGAGATCACGATCTCAATATTTGTAAACAACAGATTTATCTACAAATGTTGCTGACTATGAAGTTAACATATGGACATAAAAAACGTGACCAAATAAATATTCCAACATCTAACAATAAACAAAAAAAAAGATTTTTAAGATAAGTAAAATAAAATGTGCATATTCGGCAAAAATGTTTTGTGCAAATATGTTAAATAGCGCGTCGTGCGTAGTAGAGAAGTCAGAAAATAGCTCAGAAAGGAAGAAAAAATGTACGATGAAAAATAAAAAAATCAAAGTATATGGGGAAAAGTGTAAAATGTTGTGAGTTCGGCTCTTTTTCCTATGTATACGGGCGATTTTCGCACTATAAAATATTTTTATTTCAAACTTTTTTTTTTAATATAAAATTCCCATAATTGACCTGTAATTAGCTCGAAAATTGTATACCAATTCGTATCAATTTGTGTTTGAATGGAATGTTATACTATATGGTAAATGTCAATTGCCTACTTTGACAACTGGTTTGTCAGCTATCTCTGTAGGAAACTCTATCTCTAGATAAAGTACGTAGGTACAAAATGTATTATATATTATAATAATTCTTTGGTTGCGATAAATATAAAGTAAACGACTGACTCAACTGCAAAATATGAGAAATGTCAAAAGTTCATTAAAAAAAAATCTTAAAACAATTATGACACTACCAAATTATACGCAAATGCTCAAGCCATATGCATGCAAATGATACCTAGATGATCATAAACACATATGTACATTTACATATGATGATTAATAATAACTACTCCAATAAAAGTTTTACAAATATCACCCTCTTCTTGTCAATTATTATACGAATATGCAATCTAGTTCTATTTCCTCTATTTCACTTCCAATAATTTTTGGCAAATTTTTTCACTTTATCAAACTCGAAAATTAAATTAGAACAGTCTGCAATGAAGCTGTCAGTTTTCGATTTTGACATTTCATGCCGTTTGCCGACTGTCAATTTGATTACGTGGCTGTTAACGCGGCTGTCAATTGTCACAAGCTGCGTTAATATACACATGAACCTGCCATAAATCTATATAAGTGATCGATGCTAACTTGTTAAACTTGAATAATATATACACAAAATATTTGTATGTTCGTAGATATATGTTTAGCTATGTTATTAGCTATACATGTATTCAACTGGTTACTTTTTAATTTTTTTTTGCTCACCACAGCGTCTTTGATGTGCTTCAGCACTACTAATTAGTAAGAAGGCGGAATTGTTATTGATTTATTGGAATTGAAAAGCAGCATAAGCATATTTCTTTATGTTAATCAATATCTCGAAAGTTTCGTCTAGCAATTTTTAGTTGTTATGTAATTGACTGCGAGGAAATCAAAGGTTTCAGATTCCTTAAACGTATAGTGCTAGAAAACTAATTTAAAAACCTTTCCAAAACAGATAAGTTCTCACTATTCCTCTGCTACCACCAGTTGGAACAGCATTAATCCCGAAGATCACTATCTATGCGATGACTTGTTATAGCCAACGATTCTTCTACATATTATATAATATACAATCACAGTTAGATACAAGTATGTATGTCATGAGACGAGACGAGCCGCATGGGCACTTTAGCACCATATTATAAAGTCTCTCATAAGGGCTATTTTGCATCGTCGCGTGAGAGCTTTACTTCTCAATTGCCAAGGAAGAATGGGTAAGGCTTATGCTCTACTGATTTTCGGGGATGAACTTTCTTTCGGTGTTTAGTTTTGTTTGATGATAAATAAAATTACACGTAAACACCTGCAAAGTTATTCGTGGTTCCAGATGTGAGGCATGCCGCAGCGAAGTTTATTCTCAAAATATTTTATTTCGATCCATGTTATGAGTATAAGGATCAGAAGTACGTTAATGTTGCTCCTAATTAAAAATATAGACCACAATTCGTGAATAGAAACCCTTTTAATAAAGAAATGCTGAAATATATTTTTACGCATCTCACTTCATCAAAATGCTGTTCACCGCCAACATAACATAAAATATGACTACCGTTTATTTTCTAACATCTTAGTCACACAAATAACCAAGATTTACGAGTTACAATTTTTCACTCAACCAAGTAATAACAGCAGAAAAAATATAACAAAAACAACAACAATTTAATTAACCATGCTTCGACGCTGACACATAAAACTGTCGGCATTTTGTTCAAGCTCTGACATAATAAATCCCTCGCAAACAAGTAAGAAAATTACACAAAGCAAAAGAAAACGGGATCGCAGCAAAGAGCTTAAAATGTCACTTGTAGCGGGTTGAAATTCTTAGAAAATAAAAGCTACAATATTTGTGTTCAATAAATTATGCCGAAGAGCAGTAAAAAGAACGCAACTAGTCAAAGAAGAAAATTGGAAACACACAAACTAGAATGCTAGCAAGCGTGGGAAAAACTCCGTTGGATATACATATACATAAATAATAGAGCAGAGATGTGAGAAGTTAATGGTGGGGTAAGAAAATTGTAGTAAAGAAACATAAAGAAAATGCAGAAAACGTTTGGATTACAGCAACGTTGATCGGAATGAGAAATAAGTTAGTAGGCAAGTATACATGTTAACCAAAAAACAGTTCAAAGCGGAGTTAAACATTTACAGCGCACTTTAGAATTAATTAATACTCATCGCTTGCGAAAGATACTTAAATATACCGAAAGTCCGTAGACCTCTACGTATCGGAAGCAACCCGGAGATCGTTACGCAAACCTCTTTGGCTGTTATATATGTATATCATAAAGCTTTGGTGCAACCGAAGTTCTTGTTTTTCTTTTGCAAATGCCTCTGAAGTTTTAGTTTTTGTGCCAAAAAAAGTATCCATCGCTTTTTATTTTCAATTCATTTCAAAATTATATACAGTATTTTTAATATTTTTATACACATTTCAACAGTAAATCAATTTTGATGTAAACGATTGGAAAAAATTAAAATATCTTGTTTTTGAGCAGTCAAAAAAAAAAAACTTTAAATGCAGTTATCAAGCAGGTACCGTTATTTTTGTCTGGTATTATTTGCGTATAGTCAAAATGTATTATTTGGTAAATTAGGTTCTTTTGTGTGATTATAGTTTTTAAAGAAAAAATGGTGAATAAACAAAGTTCTCAAGATTTACAGGCTCTGGTAGTTAAATATGCTAAATTCAAAAAGAGTGGTGGAGTTGGAAGACTTGATTGTAGTGGAAAATTTGCACGCCCCAGGCTAAAAGTAAAGTAAAGGAATAACAAGGAACATTCCACAATATCAGCTGTCGCTAATGCCAAGGAGTTGGCGGAACAAAACTCCACCCTCAAACTGTTCCGAACATCTCGCTTTCAACCGATTTTAGAGCGTATCACGTGGCACCACGACACAAGCCACAATTAGAAATATTGTATAACATTTACTATAATTCAACGGGTACATCCAATGTGATAACGAATTTAGAGATTCTGTAATTTTTACAGATGAGTCCAAAATTAATTTATTTGGAAAAAATGCCGTCGGTAATCTTGTTTTCATCGAATTATGTAAACAATGGACTATAAGCAATATTAAAAAAATAGTTTGGCTCCGTCAGCAGCTAAACTCAATTTAAATGGTGCTTTATTGGTTAAGAAATGGTTGTGAAAATAGTGCTGCAACATCCTTCTCAGAGTTCAGAACCCAATCCCATTCAATACTATACCATTGTGAGGCTATATGGAGACGAAGTTACGACAGCGCAAAGTTAATAGCAAAATTAAGGTTAAAGCCGCTGTTCAGGAAATATGGGTTATTTAGTACCCTGCTGAACTTACAAAAAATTTGGTGCATTTCATGAACAAAAGACAGCAAACTATGATAGAGTGCAAAGGTACACATACCAAGCATAATTTTTCCTTAAAGAGTGTTAAAATGTCAAATTATGCAAATTGTACAAGTTTTTTTTTATCTTCGAAAATGGAGTTATTTTGGAGACTGATCATCAAAAATAAATTTCAATTACATTATGAAAATTAATAAAACGGCATTTTTTCACTTTTGGATGCAACTCAAAAGTTTTAAAGTTTAGAAGATAAGTCAAGAGGTCACTTCAAAGTCAAACCCTCTCGCTGTACAAGTTAATTTTTTTTTGGTTCTCTGTATTTATCAGAGAAGTTTTTGAGATTTTATGCTGCCAGTCAGGCATAACGCCCACATACATAACGCCTTATGTGCCTTACATAACCGAGTATTTATGTATAATTGCGGATAATCCACATGCAGCATGCATAATTTATCAGCAGCTTGGGTCTTCGCAAAATTGAAACAGAAAATGCGGTATGACCCGCACTTGTCGCCTTAATTACAGGCATACTGCACTAACAAAATACGAAACTGGTCGTAAATGAATAGCAAAAAAAAAACAAGACATGAGGTATGTATGTGAGTCATTGAGTATGCTGCGGGCCAGGGCCTATATATATTATATGTTATTCATGTGTATGAATAGTAAGCAAGTATGTGGGTAAATTTAGGTTTACGCCCGCAGACACAGGTATTTACATAGCCGTTAGATACACATACCTGAGTTATTTGTAAAAGTAGGATGTAAGTAATGTAATATGGCATAGAAACACATACACATAAATGCTAGCGCATTCTGCATATACTCGCATAAAAGGTGAATAGGTAGACGTGATACATGTGTAGGTTTATTCTAAACCTCAAGGACATGTTTGCATTTGCCCTAGCGTAGACAAGTAGAGACAACAACTACAACTAACCTAATATGAACAACTGCTTAAAAGCTTGCAAGCTGAAGTGCTGGTTGGCTGTTCTACTTACCTCATTTCAATTATTTGTATTACATTAGCTAGTATTAGTTAAGGATGGTTGGCTAAAAGGACTAACGAATGCTATTTTTGGTCTTTTACGTATCAGTAATACCTGTTAAGCAATCATTTTAGTGCTGACAGTTTATCCACCCAACCCACACGCATTGAACTTTTACCACGATCATAAATCAATGTCGCTTGTCTGCGCTGCTCATCACTATATCACATGGATATAAATGTATTTTTCCATTAAAAGCCTATTTAGAGATGCATAGGCGCTTAACGCGAGCTGATAAGAAATAATTTTTTTGTGAACACGGGTTTTTCGCCAGTTTTAGGCGAGTACGAATGAGATTGTTCAGTTGGTGAAGGCTATGTGCCGATTCACATAAAATAAGGACGAAATACAGAATAACCACTAAACTATAAAACAACGCGTAACGAAGGACTAAGTTCAATTACCTTCAGGTTGCTTAAGAACTTAACATTTATTATTCGACGAAACCTTCGATGAATTACAACCGTATTTCGTCCCATTCACTTATGAATCATAGAGACACACTTGGTTTCATTATTAATTATCAACTTATTTTGATCTAAACCACATTATGTTTAAGCAAGCATATCCACTTAATTTTATTTAAATATCATACAATTCGACCAACATTAACGGTTTAAAGCCAAGTGAAAAGTCGGAAATCACTATATCGGGATTGATGTCGGCTCGAAAATGGGAAATCACTTTATCGCGTATATTGGGTCTAGGGAAAGATCCAGACTGATTGCATTAAATTTTGGTTTTACTAAAGTATGCTAGAACACACACACATACATATTCCCATACAATTTTATAAAGATAGCTCACACACTGACTGACATATTCATAAGTCTGCTCGAATAAGGAAAACCATTATATTAGGTAAATCACTTTTGTGCTACACGTTCGTTTACAGTATCAGGCCCATAAACTAAATTAATGTTTTCAGCCGCTTTGGCTGTGTTTTCGCTTTGATCGAAGAAAATTGTAAAATATATATTTTCTCTTTGTTGGTGTCCATCTTTGACGAGCGCTCACAACGAACTGAGTAAATCAATCAAACTTTTAGCGCGAATGAACACGTTTTCAGCGCCGTATAGTATGACATGATGCGACACGTAACACTAGTACTATGGACAATAACGCCATCTCTTAGATAAAAACCGAACGAACTTTTTACTTGACCTTATATTTATGTATCTGGTGTATGGGAGCTTGGGAGATTTGTTTTCCGATTTCACACTTTTTCGGCAGTAAACTGCATTCTATAAAGCCAACCGGAAATTCTTACATCACGTATATGGAAGCTAGGAGAAGTTTTCACCCGATTTTATCCATTTTAGAAACAAATACACATAGAAAGAGATGTTCTTTGACTTTCATTAAGAAAAATCACATATTAACCGAAATTTGTATATGGTATAAAGTCAACCGTAAGTTCGAAAATTTTTATATTAGGTTTATGGCGGCTAGGGGAAGTATTGACTCGATTTTACCAATTTTTGATACAAAATCACGTTTTCATTAGGAAAGGATTCTCTTGGTAAAAAGTCAGCCGCAGGCACTGGGGTCCACATATTTGGTGTCTAGAGCTTTGGAAACTTATGGTTCTACTTTGACAATTTTTAGACGTAAGATGACACTTCTAAACCGTTCTTTGCACATAGTTTGATTCCGATATCTTCTTTGATACTTGGTTTATATGTGTACTATAAAGTAGAATTAATTTAATTTAAAATTGTGATATATGGGAAGTGGGTGTGATTGTAGTCCGATTTTAGGTATGCGATTTCACCTAAATGTGTATTGTCTAATTTATAACCGGATGCTATAATGCTCTTCCGTAGCATCTCGGTTGTGAGATTTAATGCTTCTAATGAGTTATCACGCATTTAGTAGTTTTCATCATAACCGTTATAGAGGGTGTGGGCATAGGCAACATCCCATTTCATCCATTTTCATACTGTCTGAGGCAATACCGAAGGGATACGTCTTCAGCAAGTTTGGTTGCTATAGCTTTAGTGATTTGTGAGATATGTATGTGCATTACATCTTTTAAGGGCTCATTATGTAGCTTCGTTATGACTCTATATAAGTTTTCCCTTAACGGCATTTTGTGGAGCTAAGGAACAAAGCTTTTCTCAGTGGTGAATTTAAATTTTGAGATTCTATTGATCATTTGTCGGAATCGGCCAGATCGGACAACTATATCACATATCTCGCATACAACCGATTATTCAGTTATTTTACTTTCCGGCCGCCTGTTGTTTGTTGTTGTGAGTTAAGAGAAATTTTCATAAGATAAACTCCGTTTTCGTGAATAGTGTTTTTGTTAAGCAAGCTTAGCCATTACTAAATAGTATTCTGCACACACTTATGGGGATTTTCTGTATTAATATGTTTGCTTATAAGATCAATAAGTCTTCCTAGTTTTATTAGCATAACATTATTTGAGGAACTTAATGCAATTGGTAAATGAGCGGTATTTCCCCAAAAACTAATTGGATAGATGGCTTATTGAAACTATAAAAAAAGAAGTCATAGCTTAATTTTATTTGGAATTGTTAAAGAAATCTCTGAGTTCTTTTTCACATTAAAATTTAAGAAAATTCTTTACATTTTTACTGTTATTAAATGTGCTTGAGCATATTTACAGACCGCCAATGCAAATGACTTACACAACATGTCTAACTTAAGGTGATATTAAATAATATCAAGTTGCATAAGCAGTGAAATGTTATTTATTTTTATTTTCAAACGCTCATTGACCTTAGCCTTGCAGCAAAAATCTTGAGAAATTCGAAACATTCCAAAGACGTGTCGGCAGGCAATGCACTTTGTTGCGCTCATCGAAGAAATGGAAATGGTAAACAGCAGTTAGTCATAGCCATGGCAAGCTTAAATAAATCTACTATACATATATATATATATAATATAGAAATATATATAATTTATATGTACATATGTACAAGAATTCTCAAAACAATGCCAACGATGAGAACGACACTGTAGAGTGGCCATGAAATTGCGATTATGGGGCAATTATGGAGCAGCAAAAACAAAAACATTTTCAAAACAAAAAACCGATAAAAAATAGAAAATTATCGCAGGGAAATGTATAAAAAAAACTAAATCTCATATGTGAAAATTGTGCGCCAAAATAATGGTCAAAGTCGAGGGGTTAATGTAGAGTGTTGCATGCCGACTAGGAGGACATGCAGGCGACAAGAACGCGCTGTAGCAGAGCTTTTAAGCGTTTTTTTTTTCATTATTTATGAGTTATTTGTTAGAAACGCTTGTTAGCTGGCTTGTGTATGGCTAGCTTCATATTTACGAATTTTACTTGAGAATTCTATGACCTTGTTAGCTAGACAAGTAGTCTGCAAATTACTTAAGCGTATATAATATATTTGCTGGTTACCGCTTAGTGTTGCCTTAGGAATTTAAACCAATATACAAGTATGTATGTATGTTCATTATGTTTTAAAAAATTATCGTCTTAATGTCGTGTGAATTAATTGCAATGAAATTGGATGACATAAGTAAGGAAGAGCTAAGTTCGGGCATAACCGATCTTTTTATAGTCTCGCAACTTACAAGGCTCAAAGCCGGGGAAACATCTTTAGGTGTAAGCAAAAATTTATATTGAACTATGGAAAATATCGCACATTTCATTCATTTTAGTATCCGCGGATACACTGTTATTAGAACGAGATTATTTCTGAATTTTATTAAGATTTCTTACATATTGACTGATAGATGACGTATAAAGAGAAGTTCGAAAATATTTATGTTATGTATATGGAAGCTAAGGGAAGTGTTGACTTGATTTTACTCATTTTTGGCACAAGTTATAGTTCGATTTCAACAATTTATGGACGTAAGATGAAATGACATCATATTTTTTGCAGTGTATAAAATAATGCTCTTGTGGTACAACTCTGGCAATAGTGGTATGATTTTTTTCTTAGTCGAGAAATTATTTTTTCCGCGTTAAAAAAATGTTGCCTAGATTTTTCGGAGTCTTTTTTGGAATGACTTTTGTATGATTCATTCGATAAGAACTCTATAGAATATAAGTTACTAGAGTGATGAACAACAAGCATTGAGAAAATGTAAGAAATATTTTGATGATAAACGATAGATCGTGGAATTTATCCATATTT